CGTGTAAACTGCTCCCTGTCTGTTGTTAGGTTCGTCCCTGTCTTTAACGTTGGTCACTCACCAACAACAGTTCTTTTCAGAACTACCCTCACCCGGACGATCACACTATACGAACTACCATATATATATTAACAAGCGACCCGTTCCAAGGGACAGTTGTGCCACGATGAAGAAAGCACCAAACCATTACCGTGTTACTCCTTTTGACAACGGCAATTTTATGCAAATATACAGTTATTATGCGATCTGTTTTGTTCTAGAACGACCTTCTGAGCCAGACTCTTGCGTGAAAGTCAGGCGTCTCCTTGAGGTCGAAAGCGACCTCGTGAATGAGTATGCTGGAGACACTCGGTCAAAAATTAACGCCACGGCTGGGTAAGACGTTCTTGACATATCGCTACCACTATTGCTTTATGCAACGTGGGAGGAAATTACTCCCTACATCTTAACTTTTCCCAATTCTCTTTCCAGAGATGAGAATGAAGAAGTTTTCAACATTGGCCGGGAATTTGATGAACATTATCACTGGCATTCTCTAAAGCCTCTTTCTGATGATTACGACCGAACAAAACAAACGTTCACAGGCAAGATATTAAATGAAATGCAGCATTAGTAGATCTAGTGTGGAGGCCATGGGAGTGCGGACCCCCCTTTTTTGCTGGAAATTATCCGACCCAAAGGGTCAAAGATCCCCACTTTGGAGCAAGAAGAGGCTCACAACCACACAACTCCGATCCCCAGCCTTCCCCCTATTCCATCTCATCGTTCCACGTCCCTCCCTCATTGAGCATCTCGGGATGTGCTACCACTAGTACATCGAAAGGGAAAAGTAAAGGTTAATCCTTGGAGGTACAAGCTAACTTATACCCCCACCATGGTACAAGGGGGAGGGGGTGGATGGAAGCCCTCCACTGGGGGTTTCGTTCTGTTAAAGCACAGTGAAATAAATTTAGATTGAGTAGAATGCCCTGAACTTGCTCTACAAAATGACACCGTTTTTGCTGGTTATGACGACATATTAGACCTACCATCTTGAATCTTGGATTTCACTATTTTCTTAAAAAGTCAAGAAAAGACAAAGATTAATACAGAATCAAGCCAGAATGCTTATGGAATGTAAGCATTCATGAATTTCTGCAATTTGAAAATATAGTGAATTATGTTAAAAAAGTTAATTTTTGGCCACACCTACCTTGAAATTGTGGTTGCCATGGCAATAGCATCCACCCCCCCCCCGCTATCCCCCATTTTACGTTCGAGGATTAAACTCGACAGCTTGTTAAAAACATGTTACAGAAGTGAGACTAAGTCAAAAGCTATTGTAACCAAAGTTATCCGTTTCTTTTTGTTCTCAGATAAGCCTCCAGACGACCCGTGGCAAAGAAAATGGTATTTCAAAGACAAGCAGAAATACGTTCGCTATCACAGACTTTATGGCGACTCACTTGTTGGAGGCATTAACCAAGCGAAAAGTATCACAGTCACGGAGACCGGGGATAAGAAGGAAAAAGGAAAAAAGACGGTAAGACAGTTATTAGTTTTGACGAGCTATTTATTATTACAATTTCCATCATCTCTGTATTCCACCCCTGATATATGCAATGCGCTTTTATTCCCCTGATAAACGTTCTAAGTTGTATCATAAATTTTATAGTTCCAAAACACTGCTCGCATTGCCCTCTTTCCATAGAGTAAGAAGGCAGCACAAATTAAAGAAGAAAATAACCAAAGGATGAAAGGTTTGTAATTTATATGATGACGGAGCTCGTCTGATCTTTTCTTTTCTGTTATCAAGAAATATGTTCAGCCCTTGTAGAGGGAAATAGAGTATGGATTTTCGCTATTTTGGTCTGAAATAATGTATATTGGTATATTCGGGAGATCTTGTGTACTTAGCCGCTCTTAAGAAAAAGTTAATTCTTCGTTATTCAGCTCTCTTGATGTTAACATCGATGTCGACTTTGGGGTCTTTTTTAATTGTTTATTCCATTCTTTGGTAGCTGAGGTCATGTATCCATAAGACAGGCATTGTGTGCAATCTCAGAGTTGGCTTTTTCTCAAAACCTCCACAGAGCAAGACAAGAAAAAAGATCTAGAAAAGTGGTATCATTTTCGTGAGGACATCGAAAGCAACTTGAAGAAAGACAACTACGATACGGCTTTGAAGTTGATTGATACATACGAATCAGATTGCAAATCTCCAGAACTTCATCTTCAAGCGCTCATGAAAAGAGCGCAGAGTGGTTACGAAGCCTGGCAACATACAAGTAAGTAAAAAAATAAGTTTCTTCCATTACAAATCAGTTATATTGTATTCTATTATTTAAAGAATTAAAATTCTTCTGAATTTTTTGTATTTTTTAACCACCTGTCGGGCCGAGTACACAAGAAAGAATAGACTCTTTCTATGTCCTCTTCGGTTGTTAGTGGTCCAGGAATCAAATCAAGCTCGCGTTTTTCTCGCTTTGAGGTCAGCTTCTGCAGCTTGACTTGTGCTCAAGTCAAGAGAAAGAGCTGAGAACTAAACTATGCATATCCGTTGATGATGTCTTCGATTACTATATGTAACTGATAAATTTAACATCGCATTAATCTTCTAGGAACATGTGACCCTAGTTGTAACGATATGAAGTATCCTGTCCTTTTAATGCAAAGTGTCCAGAAAATTGCGCAAGGGTTCTCAAGTCTACTCACAGACAAGAAGAAAAAGAAACTCGCTGAATGCATGCAAAAGCTGGGCTTCAATGACATCGCAGGCTCGTTTTATGAGTTGCAGCCTGAAAGTGGAAAAAGGGTAAGCAGCGCAAAAAATGCTACGAAGGAGGTAGCGGGATGGGGCGGGGTTGGGGGGGGGGGGGGGGGGGGAAGACTGTGTGACGAGCCCAAAGAGCGTCTGCGAAAGAGGATAGGACTGTGTGAGCATGNAGCAACACTCCAATTGCCTTTATTACATGGGCTGACTTGACTTTACCCAACTCAAGCGTGTTAAGGCATGACTCAAAGCTTGATTTGCATCCAATTTGAAAAGAGCCATAACTTTTGAGCAATTTACTCAAACACCTGCAAACCTTTCAACAATATAAAACATAATAACCTTAACTCGTTTTGCCGGGTTTAAGGGTTGATTAGCTGTTATCAATATTTGATTGGATTAAGAGAAAATTGAAAATGTGTTGGCGAGATGCCATATAACGGATATCAGTTGAAAGCTTGTGGTAATTGTCTTGTCGTCCCTTATATGATTCTGGCTGGAATGGTTGACAGTGATGTATCGTTTATGAGATAAATAGCAAAACAGGTCACGTAACTTGTTTTATCTCCTAATATCTTGTCAAGACAACTAATAAATCTGACCATTCCGGCAAAGAATAACTGATATTTTATACGTCACTTAATTATAAGTTAACCATTCTCACCTCATTTGAGGTTTTACTATTGCCAAAATTATGACGTCGCTAAACACATGGCCACCATAAAAATATCGCGATTTAAGGACAATAAAATTCCATTGGTGTGTACTTTTGGTCTTCCTGGGGCAAACAAAAACACGTTGTTTCCATAGGAAAAAGGTTTAAACTTCGCGGGGGGTCCTACCAAGGAATGAGCCATGCCTCAATATACTTGAGAATGTCTTGATACGTGCATTACTTAGGCCGGACGGCTTTCTGTTCACACTACAAGCGCAAGATTCCAACTGGAGCACATGGGGCATTTGCTGAAACGAGACGAGCGTACGGATCGTGATCCTAGAGTGGACCACTTTATTCCAGACACATGGCAGGTATGTTATGATAAGTGTGAACGGGGCGTAAATATGAAAGCCAAACTGCACACACATGTAAATCAAAAAGTGTGCTTCCTTTACATCAGGCATGAAAACAATAAAACTGACATTTTCGTCACGCTGAACTCTTATGTCCTAAGAGATGTCGACATCTGTTATTGATTTTGCAAGTCGTTCGTTCAGTTAAGACTTCTTATTTTTTCTCTAGCTTCTCAGCGGTCCGAAATCGTAAAGCCTTGAATCTGATTGGTTAGTCGCGCGCGCTCTAGCGGGCGGAATTTCCAATCCGGACCCCGAGTACGGACCGCTCCGAAATTTCCAAATTGGGCAACTTTTCAACCTTTTTGTTACACCGTAAAACCACGTAAAATGTGAACATTCAACATAGAGTCAAACTGAAACAATTATGCATACAGTACCGCTTTTTGTGCTCGAAATGTTGAACGCACGCGTCCACCAGATTTGAACTGAACGGCTTTAGTTAAAACAGTTTAACACAAAAGTTGCTTTCAAAGCAATACAGTATAGACTATTATAGGGAAATCTGTGCCCTCAGTCTTAAAAACGGCCCTCGGTCTGCGGCCATGGGCCGTAGTCAAAACCGAGGGCACAGTTTTTCCCAATACAGGCCTCCCGGCCGGCAAACAATCTATATATATTTATAATATAGATAGGACCCTGTGCGCGCTCTGATTGGTCAAAAACCCATGTTTTATCAGAGTATAAAACATAGAAAAAGCGTGTTTTATTGTTTTTCGTCACATTACCTCTATATCATAAAGCAAATGAAGAAGCCTAAGCCGTGTATTACATTCTGATAAAACACTCCGGACATTTGAGAACACTCGAGAAATTTCCCTCGTGTTCTCAAATGTCCGTCGTGTTTTATACACGGCTTAGGCTTCTTTAGTTTTTAAATAACAGATGACGAACCGACCAACTGTGGATTTGACTTGGCATTTTATTACTATTTAGTTTCGCACTACGCAGCTTGTGTGCAGCACTCATCAGATAAAATTGCCAAATGCGAGTTTACATCGTTACACTGATTTGAAATACACATACAACCACTGGAAATATGATGGCTACAATAAGTGAACGCTTTTACAAAGCAATGGAAAGTAGGAGATTGTAAATAAATAAACTCCGTTACTATTGCGTGACAAGATAAGCTATGAAAGCTATAATTTAGCATTTTTCAGGGGAAATTCGTCAGCGTGTCTTCATGAAGTTATCAGTTCATTCCGTTTGTTCAGGTTTTAGCTCGGCGGTGAACCTAAGCAAACACATCTGGCACTTAAAAGACAATAGGTCAAAGTTCAAAGTCACTTGGAAGATTTCAAAGCAAGCTGCCCCATATAACCCCGCTTCAAATCGATGTAACCTATGCCTCTGGGAGAAGTACTTTATTATTTGTAAACCTGAGTTAACCTCTCTGAACCAACGGAATGAACTGATAACTGATACGCTTCCTGTTTGTCTTTAAAATGTATGTTGAACATTTTCTAGCGCGAGCTCCTTGATGCTGTGGACCAGAACGAGTCAGCAGTGATCGTGGCGCCGACCTCATCAGGGAAGACTTACGCCTCTTATTACTGCATGGAGAAAGTGCTACGACAAAGCAACGATGGTGTAGTAGTGTATGTTTCACCGACAAAGGTAATGCACTATAAACATCTAATAAACTTTAACATGGTACAACTCTAAATCACTTGCATGCCATCGCCATGCGTTTGTTTGTCAAGACACTTTTTTAGAATTCCTAGGTTTAGTTCTGTCTTCCTCCGAATAATCGCTTTCTGAAAAACGGATCGGATTTCAAGAGAGAGTTTCCTATGACAATGATTGAAGTATTAAAGGTATATGCGTACTAAAGAGATAATGCAATTATCAGATTGCTTATTTCGGTAAAATCTCTCCGAGATTGACACAGACTTCCCCTAAACTTTACTTTCTACCCCTTCAAGTCTATTTTATCTGAGAGGCGTTTTGTTATCTTAACCGAAAGCAAGTCGATCGGTGTTTCGTTAACCTAGTTCGAATTTGTTTGTCACAAATGAGCACACTGCGAGTATCTGACCCGATTAAAAATCCAAGAATCAAAATGCATGTAGTTTTCGTTTATTTTCCCATTTAATAGTTTAATAGATGTCCACGATCACCTTGAAGTTCTCTTTTAGGCTTTAGTTAATCAGGTCGCTGCCACAATCTACGCTCGCTTTCACCGCAAACAGCTCCCAGAAGGACGAGCAGTGTATGGTGTCTTTACCAGGGATTATCGACTCAATACATTAAACTCACAGGTAATCAAGAACCAAATAGCTTTAGCGTTCCTGTATGTTCCTCAAAAATACGCTCGCTACTTTACTCCAGTTTCCTTCTGTATTGGAAATGCAAAAACGTATGTTAAATTTGCGTCATGCAAGTTACTACAATTATTGCACATTATATTCTCTATGTAACGCACAAGATGTTGCTAGAAAGACTAGGTAAAGTTACACTACTACTTTTTTAGAGTTACATTATCATAGAGTAGTTTACATGAACGTCTTTTCTTTGCCAACAGATCCTTGTTACAGTTCCTGAGTGTTTAGAGATACTTTTCCTCTCGCCTCGCCGACAAGAGTGGACAAAGAATATCAAATATGTGATCTTCGATGAGGTGAGGCAGGGGAAAACATGGTAGTTTATCGTAATGCTGTCGTGCACATATCAATCTTTAGTAATCTTGCAAATTCGCAATAATACAAACTAGGAGTGTGTTTCTTAGGGAAAATCCAAAAATCGCAAAATCCAATTTTGGATTTAAGAATCCAATCTTGGATTTTCCCAACGAAACGCACCCTAAAAGAATATAAGGTGGCTATCAAGGGCCAGAAAAAAGGGCGTTGTTTATTTTTCTATTTTTGACCTAGTAACGTCACGCCTACTCACTTTGTGAACGATTTCAACTTAAAATTTCCTGTGTCTGAGGAAGCCGCTTGTCTTTCAATTGTAGGTTCACTGTCTTGGACAAGAGATTGGGGCGGAGGTCTGGGAACATCTCCTTCTTCTAATTCGCTGTCCTTTTTTGGCTCTCTCGGCAACCATTGGAAATCCACACGACTTAATGGCGTAAGTGATTGATTGTGCTTTCATTAGAGGATTCTGAATGTGGGTTTGCCGGTTGTGAATATTTTGAGAATTCCAGGGACGGTTTGTTAGTATGTGCCAATTGTCAAAGCTAATGCTATTTTGACTAGGGTTCTCTGTCACTGGTGCTACTCAGTACTACGTTGATTGCGGTTCACTTCTTTTAAATGGAACTTGTTTCCATTCCAGCTGGTTACAAGCTGCTCAAGACTTTCGTGAGCAGCAGGATAAACAAGATAAAGGCAAGCTGAGGAATTCATACAGGATCAGGCTTGGTATGAGAGAGTACAAAATACATTTGTCTTCTTATCTGGTAATAAAAATAGCTACCGGTGCTTTCCATTCCTTCGTTAGCTCCTTGATTAGAGGCACCTTTGGGTACTCAGATGCTCCAAATGCTCAAATTTTGTTGTTTATAGTGGTCAGTGCGCTTCGCTACACCTAGGTAGTTTACAGGCATGTCACTTAAACTGAAAGAAACAAATACATCAACTAAACATAATAGGCTTAAAAATCCCAACTGGCGGGAGGCAGACCAGTTGGCTATTTACAAGCATGACCGAGGAGTTGAACTAGGGTTACCCAGAAACAACTCCAGCTAAGTGGTCAGAGCGGGACTTGAACCCGGGACCTACCGGCTACGGATTTAAAGTCCGGTGTCCTAACCACTCGGTTCCGCTGTCCCCACTCATACTCCTAGCTCGTGAGCTCCTGGATTAATGACAGCCGTGTTCTTCCCAAAGAGAAAAAAAGCTTTTGTGGATTAGTGAGCGTTTGCATACTTCTAAGGAATTAATTCCTAGATTACTGAAAGCCGAGTAATCTCTTAAGTAATAAATTTTTTGTGGTTCTTTCGATTAAGTTACCTGTGACGAGCGATACTCAGATCTGGAAAAAAGCATTTACCTTCCAAGTCCTTGTCACGGCGGATTTTCTGAGGAAACGGAGAAATACGAGGGTAGCTACGATGTTAAAAACACAGAGGAGTTTGTAAGACTTCATCCATGTGCCCAGCTTGGACCCAAACAGGTTAGGTTTTACTATCATGCTTATAGAACAATCGTAAAAAAGGAAAGGAAAAAGTTGTTTAAAGGTAAACTAATGATGGATAATTTTAGTTGAACTAGACCATGCAGTTTTTAAAACTGAATAAAAGTTTTAGTTAAGTCAAGATGAGCCATTATTCAATTTTTTTGTGTGTTTTCACACGTCATCTTTAGGAGATATTACTGACTTATTAGTCAACTAAAAAGCACATAATCAATTACTCATCTACCAGAAGAGATGTATTAGCTCTTGTTCCTGCTTATACTGGGCCAGAACGGCAGGTTCTTGGGTACCAAATATAACAGATTTGAAAAGTTCTTAAAGCAAGCGAAAGCAAAGCAGCATTCAACCTTTCCCTTAAACATTAGCACAACTTTAGCACTGCCAAAATTCATGATCCCTCGCGATGACTATGGACCATTTCAAATTGACTGATTCGCGGTTTTTCAATGTGATGTATTCGCTAGTTTAGGCGTTCTTGTAGAATTTTGTGCTCTATTTGTTACATCTTTGTTTGTGTGTGTGTGTGCTTTTTTTTAACAGCTACAGGAAAATGGTTTTCCAGGTGATATGGCTCTCACTCCCAAAGAAACTCTTCACCTTTTTGACACAATGGTTCTACAGTGGCCCGACAAAGTTTCCTTGCAGGTCAGCAGATAACTCATTTAGCCGTAAATCTTATCATTACATATTATATTTGGATATCAGTGTGATAAAGCCGTGGCTAAAAATGATAATCATTAAGTGATATGATATCATTTCTCTGTAGCGAAATGATATCATATCACTTTACGGTTGAATTGTCCAATCAAATAGACTGTAATAAATTGGTTTGACCAATCGGGTTGCACGTTATATTTTAGCCGACGCTTGGCGCCAAATTTGGCGGGAAGAATTGCTTTGGAGTTTTATCAACGAAGTGGCTGCTCCATGATTTGTGAATGTCTTCGATGAAGATATTTCTCAGTTTGTCGAAGAAAACGAAAACAGGAACATGGCTAAAAAGATACGTAAAAAAGAAAAGTAAATTTGCAGGAACATTGGAAGAGAACGATACGCTTAACTTTCCCCTCTTTCTTGAATGTATTCACGTTCATATGCTACTATTTAAGACAGCTTTCTTGTACTTTAACTTGGTGGCTTACTCGCTCGAGGACTCGCTCGGTCGCGACATGGTGTTAACAACTCGTGAATGAAATTCTATCAGGCTCTCGCACTCACTCATCCTCATCAGGTCCATGAGGAATCTTGAGGCCGGCTGCCAGGCTCTTAACATGTAATAATTTATATTTAGTTTATCTTTGAATGGAAACATAATTCAGTTCCGCACTAAAGCCATTCCAGCCACTTCATTTTTGCCATTTTCAATACTTGGTAAATAGCACATACATAAAGAGTAGTATTTTTTAGTTGCCTTAGCCGGTCTGCGTCATTCTTCCAATAAAATCTTGATTTGATTCCTTTTGCAGGAACTTTCTCCAGAACAATATTTCCTTGAAAATAAGTTCATTTTAAAGAGTCATGCTCGACAATACGAGCATGAAATAAAGAAGGAATTCAAGTCCTGGGCAGATGAGAGACAGTTAAAGAAGGTGAAATATTAATGAAATTGTATGGAATCACAGTTGTGTGATAACGTTGTAAAAACTGAATCACGGAAGCCTTAATAAAATCACAAGTACCTTTCTAGACCTTTCTAGCGGTCAATAGTCGTTTTCTTGCAAATCTAAGTTTTGGATCCACAACCTTCATCGGTAGTAAAGAAAAAGCCCGAAACTTTGACGAAGACCTAAGATCGAAGACCCCAAAACACAAAATGGACGACCCTTGAAAGGACCCCTAAACACGAAAGCCATGACCCCTAGATACGAAAACGAAGACCGCTAAATGCAAAAACGAAGACCCCGAAACGCGAAAGCGAAGACCCTTAGATACGAAAACGAAGACCCTAGATTCGAAAAGGAAGACCCCTAGATGCGAAAAGGAAGACCCCAAAACATGAAAAGAAACATACGTCAATCAATCAATCAATCAATCAATCAATCAATCAATCAATCAATCAATCAATCAATAATAAATTCTGGAAAATGTCACTAAAATGCTTGAATAATGCTTAATGCTTTTGCCTCACTAAATGCTCGAAAAAGTGCTAGCATGCATAATGTACAGAGGCCTTTTTATGCCAATTATTACCATTTAGTAACTCGTAGCTCATGGCTCATGAGCCACGGGGTTACTCACTTCGGCAGCACAATTAGAGAATGCACCACTATTCTTCGTCCAGAAGCATTTCACATAATCAAGCCAGAGAAGTACACGCAGGGTAGCATCTAAAATATTTATCCAGGATTGAAATTTTAACAGAAAATTCATTTAATTTCGTCGGAAACTGTAAAATCAAGTCGGGTCTGAGAGCATGTTTTCGGTTTATTTTCCTGAACAGTAATTGTTTAAGGTTATTCATCACATTTGCATTACGCATCCTTACTGCGCATAATTTATGGCGTCATTAGCGCGCGCTCGTGCACGCGCATATTGAAAACATGACGGATTTGCCTTGATATTGAGCTCTGTCAGTTGAAAAATGGCTCTAGCTCACCAACGAGCACGGGCACCCCAATTTTTTTTCCAGTCATTGTAATCAACTAATCATGAGCTTTGCGTGAGAAAAGACTGATTTAATTTCTATTGCTGAAAATTGAATAAATAAGAAGAATAGCAGATACACTGTGGCCTTTTCTATTTTGCAGTCGGTAACCACGTCAAGAAATTCGGTTCAAATTTTTAATCAAGGATTTAGCTTTCTGTCTGAATCAAACTTAAAACGTTTATTTGTGTCCGACACATTGTATTGACTGTAGTTTAATGCGTGTTCTTATGAGTCCGGGCTCACAAAGATGTTACAATTACTGGGAATGCGTTCTTATGATAAGCATTAAATAATGCCAAAATGGGGCATTTTCAATGCCGCACTGCACCTTAATGAGCATGGGCACCCACCTTTTTTATTTCAAAATTGAAGTTATCATATGACAAATATTCAGTGGACAAAGTTTGAACAAAAATCTGTTCTAACTTTTATTTCAGAGGAATTACCTTAAGTGGATTGATTGTTGACTACAATCCATAGTTGTATAGTTTGTGGAATGTCAGCGAGTGCTACTTTGGAATAGTCGACCACACATAACCTATTCGGTTTCAGTTAACAATCTATAAGGAACGATTTTTTAAAACCACTCTATTGAAACGGTTGTTGTTTTTGTTAACGCTAAGTGACTAATTAATTGCGGTTATTAATGATGCATAAGTAAGGAACTATAAAGGCATGGGCAGAACCAAAGCCGGAAGAGATGTAAAACTTTCGTGAATCACTCATGTGGAACTTTAACGAATGACGGATTTACATTACACTGGACTGCAAAGGAGTCAAGTAGTGCGCATCGTAATTTTGTTTGAGCAAGTTTTGAATGAATAATAGAAAATAAAATATGTATGGAAATTTGAAAATTGACATGAATTATTAACTACAGTAGCTAGTTTTCGTGTTTTGGGGTCTATACTAAAGCATCCCAAAAGCGATACAATATGACACGATGCAATACGATGCAATGCGATGAGATACAGTGCAATGCAATGTAATTGGCAATATGCTTCACTAGTTCATCGGATGTGGTTTTACAGAAATAATTTACATATCTAATCATAAATGGCATTTTTTTCCTGACATCATCTTGAAGTATCATGTTTCCTTCAATGCAGGTAAAAAACAAACATAAAATATTTAAAAAGCCCGTTATCGCGGGTCTTCGTGTTCTGTTCTGTTCCTCGCTTTCGTGTTTTGGGGTCTTCTTCTTCTTCTTTTTTGTGCTGTTCAGGGGTCTTCGTTTTCATGTTTAAGGGGTTTTCTTTTTCGTGTCTAGGGGTCTGCGATTTTAGGTCTTAGTTTTCGGGGTCTTCGTTTTCGTTACTTCAAACGTTCAGCTCAGGCTCTATCTGTTAAGGATGAGTTCTTAGATTATATTTGATGAATTCTTGGCACTGAAAGTTTCCCGGCTTGTCGCCCTAGGAGAACGCCATACTTTTTTGGCAAAATCTTGTTACTTAGCAACGTCTTCAAAAAACCGCAATTTTTCAAGGATATAGTTGCTTTCAAGATTGGATTGCCCTACAGTAAAAGGACAACAAATCATTCATTCTGTTTATTTATTTCTATTTACTTTTTTGTTTTGTTTTGTTTTGTTTTTTTGGCTTCTTCAGGTGCAATCCGTCATTCAGTCATTGAATGCTATTTGCCTAGACAAGCAGGCCTCGGTTGAACAAGAATGGAGCGAAATAGGAATGCCTTCGTCTGGCACAGATTTTATCTTACTTAATTTCTCGAAGCTGGTTGACCAACTCAGAGCACAAGATAAACTGCCAGCCCTGGTTTTCAGGTAATGCACAGCTTGGTGGCTGAATATCTATTTTGAGGTACATTTTGTCAAGGCATATAATTTAAACTTGAAGATAACACTTGTTTGCATGATTACTGTTACTGCTGCGGCTGAACCCTTTGGCAAACAATTTTTAGGAATTGATTATTGCTTGAAGTTAGGCTAAGGTGCTACCGAGCTACCTATTTTCAGGCAAGTGAAAGAGATCAAAGCAACGTACATGGACGCTGCTCATACAATCCCTCTAAAGCTTTCAAATTCTCCACTGTTCCTCGATCGATCGCGTAACCTAACACTGCGTCAGTTCAGGCTCACCAGTGCTCTTTCCGTCCTGGACTCACACAACGCGCCCGTGACGCTTTCATGAATAAATACGTTTCGCTTTTCTCGAGACGTGAGCATGGGACTTGAGCTTGAGTTGATAACCACTGATATCGCTTGTGGTTTGATGGAAAAGAGCCAATATGTAGAGAACTGCCGACGATTTTAAGTCAAATAATAAGGCAAATAGGTGTTTTAGATGCGGTCAAATACTTCGAACTTGCTCAGAACCTTTGTTGTTTTTTTTTTGAATAACTATCCCTTGAAACGCCCAAAAACGTATCGGGTCAAAGTCAGTTTTTTACAATCGTCTTATGTTCTTTTAAACAAAATCAAGAAAACTCATCCCACTGAAATAGATAAAAATAGATAAAATCTATCGAGAATTGTCATCTACTGTTCGACACACTAACTTCGTCTATTTGTGCATGTCAGTGAATCGTCACGTGATTATGTACACTGGAAATTATGCGTAGTGACAAGGACGAGGGCTTCAAATCTAACTAGAGATATATCGAATCAACAATTTCTCTTCCCCTTCAATTTTAAAGTAGACCTCAAGACCCTTGATTTCCCACTGGACAGAACTCCTGACCAGTTCTCACTGTACATGGTCGCTCCGCCTTAGACCAAGAATTGTAAGTATCGACCGACACATCCCGTGTTCGAAAGCAAGAAGACGATGCGAGCAATGTGAAGATGATCTAAATGCAAAGTAGATGCTTTTCTTGTCCTTCTCAACAGCTTTGACCGCAAGATGTGCGAATACCTATCGCAGTATCTTACTGAGGACTTTGAAGATCGAGAAGAAGTTCTTCGAGCTCAAGGGGACCCAAAAACCTTAAAACTGGTAGAGAAGAGGCGAGAAAAGGCTGAAAAGAGATTGAAAAAGACAAGAGATCAAACAGATAAAGAGAAAGGAAATAGGTATTTTAAAGAGTTTTACCTATTACTATGACATTGGCGTTTGTAAACATAGAAGCACTCGGTATCATAGAGCTACGCCATTATTGTAAACATAAAATAAAGAATAGAGTGGTGAACGAAGTTCATATTTGATGAAGGGCAACATGGCAGCCCCCAAACGTTGCCTTCAACGTGTGTTTTCCACCAACTAGACACACTGTTTCATAACATCTGGTGATCTGTTGTAATGCTTCCCAACCGGGGGATGCTCCTTGAATTCGTGTGGTTTCCACACACCTTTTGTGGAACTTTCAGGCAGCACATACCAGATGCATATGCTTCTGCACATACTTAAATAGTATAATTAATTATAAAAGGAAGTGCCCCACGGCAACATTGAAAGAAGGCTGCCAACATGTTAAATGTTCAGTGCATGTTCAGTGCTCTCTTTTGGCGTTTTCTGTCCATTTTAGCGAATTATAGAAAATTTATCATCATGATAGATGAATTTATGCTGCCTCATTCCTTTAGACTATCCCCAGTTTCCAGCCAAGGGATTTTCCAGCATTTCGGGACTTTTGATTTACTCGTATTTAAACAAGTGAGGCGCTGGCACAGACCTCTTTTGCTTCAAGCACTCAGCGAGAGAACAAGCCTCTTTTCAGTTGCACCGAAGTCCCGAGATTTGACCCACCTCCGACCCGGACCAACCAGCCTTCTGTTCTCTGATTGGCTACGCCACTCACTATCTATTCTGTGATTACCGTAGCAGTGTGCGCTTGTTAACAAAATGATGGCCGCTTCTTGGCTCTTTCGAAGTTGTCTGTGAAGAGGATCTAAATAAAGTTTTGAACAACTAGTAGATTTATACTAAAACAATTAGATTATTCGCTATCGATTTCTATGCGTAATAGTTGACTCGGGCTGCACCCTCGTCAACTATTACGCGATAGAAATCTCGAGCTCATAATCTAATTATTAAAAGGATGTAACAAGTCATTACAAAAACAACAAATGTATGGGCCATATATTTTCGGTTTTATGTGGCAGTTTTAATCTCTAAACAGGTCAGCCAACCAACCAGTGGAACTAATTAAGGAAGATTTTTCATCTTTGGGTGAAACATTGCCTCAAGATGCATTGGCCCTGATAGCTCAAGGTGGCCCAAGGACCTTGAAATTGGCAGAGAAGAGGCGAGCAAAGGCTGAAAAGAGGTTGAAGAAATCAAGAGATGAAACAGAGAAAGGGAAAAGGTAATTAAAACACTTAAGCTTATCAGTCTTTAATACAGTGTCCTAGGTAACCAGGCAGAGAATGATTGGCTGAAGTTCAAATTTGAAGTTCAACTCTTCGCTAGAGGAAACTCCAAGGATTGCCGGCGCCAGTTGTGGAAACATAACATACATGCCCTTTTTTTAAGTGTCTGGTCGTTCTAGCGCCAACAGCACTAATTGGGGAAAAGATAAAAAGCAATGTATATGAACAATTATTTAAAAAATTGAAACTTCCAAACTTAAAGTTTCATAACTTACAGCATTTTTCTTAAAACTACCTAAAATACAAAATTATTTACAATATATCCCCTATAGAGTAAGGGGTTTCCCACATATCCTTTTTGCGTATCATGGTTCCAAAAGCTGTCAAAGATTTGATGGTCCTTCCCTTTTTAGTTAGTTTCGCCCATAGCGATGGCCCTAAGTACCCGATGGAGTATTTCCCATGATAATGACTAAGCAAAAGTAGAGAAATGGTAATTAGGATACTCAGACGTGTACAAAACTTGGCACAGGCCAGTACTGCATGGCCTTAGCTAGAGATACGGCTTCCATTTGCGAAAATTAAACCAAAAGCCTTTAAACTCCCCATTTTAATTAATTAAGCTTAACAACGTATTCAGTTTCAGGCGAACATGCAAAATATACCCTATTTTAGACCAGTCACCAATGCAGCTCAACAAGCTACTTTTTTAGTGCCAGACATAACTACATAGAGCATATAACGGAGTTGTTGGCTTCCGTCAGTCTCGGAAGAGTGTGGAATGTGCGCCGTGGTTTCAGTCTCTTGTGGAGTTTCAGCACCTAAAAGGTAGACCCTGTTGCAGCGGTTCCTGCAGAAAAGGTCCGCGCCTGGCTATGCGGGTGCTGGCTATGCTGCCGTCTTCCGTCTGCATTCTCCTCTTTTCCCCCACTGCTTCTCTTTCTTCCTCTGGCTCTACAGCACGCCTGGCTAGGCAATTTGTTTCCAGCTGCTGTGGTCTACAGCAACGGTTCCCAGCTCGTCGGGTAGATGTCGTAAGCCTTAACGTCCCGCTTACAGACGTATAAAGAAGTACAATCTATATAAAGGTTATTCACCTGTTTATGTGGCAGGTTTTATCACTCAACAGGTTGAACAACCAACACGAAGAGGAAGACGAGGAAGATTTTTCAGCTTTAGATGAACCTTTGCCAGAATGTACATTGGCTTTTACACACAGAATTGGAAACCAGGTAGACGAAGTAATCAAGGCTGCCTGTTATCTCTTTCATAATTGTTCCCAAAACTGTCGTATAAACTATCATTGTTTGATAGCCATCTTAAGGCACCTCACATAGGAGCTAGCCAGCTAGCCGTCAGAAGTGTTTTACAACCTTTAGATCAGGAAATTTCGATGAACTAAACTATTGCATGAAATGGCCCTGGCAACCTACAGCTTATAGGGACTTTAAGATACGGTACGGTAATAGTGAAGATCACTTCCGGTGACGTCATGACGCGCGTTCCAGTACGGCTTTCCCGCCGTAGCCTTGCTTTCTATTACGGGAAAGTGACTCGTTTCACGTACTCTTCACTACGTGAGTATAAGCCTGATGTTTTACTTCTCATTTTAACGCTTTTTCACTGTTTAAACAACCTTGTTCGAAGATAAATTGGAGAATCATAAAAATCCGTCCGAAAATAATTGTTTCTTTGTCATTTCTGCAGCAAATTTGAACCATTCAAACATCTATCGTGAGCGACAGTCATATTTGTACGGGCCGAACAGTCGCAGATAAGAGAACTCCGCATGTATTGAGCTGAGCTATAATTGTTTATTGCTGTTCAAAATGTATTTCATTAGGATCAAAAGTTTTGCATTTTCTGGCTGATCACGTCTTACGAACACCCTGCCTGTGCTGAAATCGAGCTTTTTGTCAGTGTTTTTTTCTTTTGTGCTTGAAATTAAGGCTAAGAGGCAAATCTGTAAAGTTCGGGGAGATGTAAAACGGATACAGGAGAAAGAAATCTTCATCATTAATCAAGCCTATGTCGTATGAAAGTAGAATAAAGTCCCTGGTTTTCGTGAGCGAAGCTATTTTTGTAAGGACACGTAAAGGCTACACACCCCGTTGCCGTACAGCGAAATCTTAATCCGTTTGAGTTTTGCGAAGAACACGGCTTTGTCAGCCTAGTCCCTCACAGCTGAAGTAGCCGTAGTAGTAGCTCGCCGTAGGGTATCTTAAAGTCCCTAGTATCTTACAGTTTACGGCTTACAGCGTGAATGAGTTATAAACAATGTCATCGTGAAATTTTTCCTTTATTTTCTAGGACTTAGAAAAGATTATGGACCGCATACGGTTTATCAAGAGTAAAGACATATTCAAGCGTTCCTTGAAACGAGGAATCTGCTATCATCACGCTGGACTTAACAACAAAAGACGCAGCTGTGTGGAAATCTTGTTTAGGGAGAGATATCTTCAGGTAAGATTTCAACAATGGAACAGAAGCCTTTAGCTTGGTGGCCTGTCGAGCACTTAAACTTAAATTGGTTTTATCAAAATGGAAATGATCAAATAATCATAAATTGATGGCTAAATGTAAAGTTTCATTGCAGTTGGAATTTATGTAATAACCCAAGTTATTCTCGCAGTTTGATTGGTTCTTGCCCATGACCTATTAGAGGAGAGACGCACGATTGACGTCATCATTTCAAAGTTTTTCCCTCTGTGTTTAAAATAGCGGAAAGTTTTGAGAATTTAGATACTATTTTACGTGACTGGGGAAAGATAAGGTGCAAAAAGTCTTGTCGAGGCATTGAACAGGTACGAGAGTCTGGAAGAAGAAAGAAAAAGCCGTTTCTTTTCTAGAAAATGACTCGAAAAAAATACTCGAGCAGTCTCAGTCGGCAGTCGAGCGAGACTAAACCAACACAAAACTGATCTTGAAATTACTTTATGGTAAGAAACCATTACTTTGTCTCGAACTTAACAAAACCAATGAGCAAAATGTTTATGTCATTAATTTATTTTAAAAATTCAACTTTTCTCAGTCTCAAAATGATTGTTGACACAGTTTGATTCCAAGAATTAAACATCAAAACATCATCAGTTTGAATAAACACATAAGCTTAAGTACAGTTTAACCTTGTTTTCCGACGCGAATGTTCCAGTCCGTTTCAGGGCACAGTAGCGAGAAAAGAAGAGCTTACTAAAGCTCACGGTCAACTGTATCCCAGCTATAAGGTGTCTCCGACACTACATCAAACTGATTTGAGAATCACCAACTGGCACAGAGGACACAAATTTCCACCGTCACTAATGTTCCTTTCATCCAATACTCAAATCGAATGGTCTCCAGTGTTGACCGCAACCGCAAGTTTTTCTAGCGTATTTTTTCAACTCCTGCAATATTCAAGACAAATTAACTCCCAAGATTTTTGGCTCACAGGGCTGCTCTGATGCCAAAAACTGACTTGACTTTTCAGCATTTTAATTCGCAGTTTAATTCTACTTTCGTTGTAAGTTTTCAATCCACGAGAAGCAATTTTCTTCTTAAGTTTGACAGTTGCGTGATATTCCTGGACCAATCACAATTCTTTGCGACGCATAGCAACCAATGAGATTGCTTCATTTTGTACAGTCAATAGATTACGTCAAATGGCTTTTTTTCGTGTTCGCCAAAGTGGGCAAAGGACGGTTTCAGAGTTAGGTTGAAAGATTTTAAAATAAAAAAGCTTTTTCTGTTTCTTTAGTATGTAAAACAAATAGATTCCGTGTTGCCGTGCGTCTGTTCAGTAATAGATCACAGATGACGTCAAAATGTGGTAACAACAAATAAGTGGCACACGAGGCGATAGCCGAGTGTGTCACTGATGTTCTTACCACATTTTATATAAGAACTGAGATTGGTAGCTTAGTGAAGGAAAGTTGCAGGACGGTGGATTTTTTTTATAAAGCTAAAGATCCTTTAAGTTTTCAAACTTTCAAACAACATGGAAACAAATTAAAACTATTATAACAGATAAAAGTGTTAAATGCCATCTCTGTATACCGCCACGTAAATACCTCCCCAGTCTCTCCAGGTACAGGGATGCCTTGTAATTGGTTCCAGATCAAAATTATTACAGGTTTTATTGATTCTTTAGGTGGTCGCAGCAACGGGAACTTTGGCCCTTGGCATTCATATGCCTTGCAAGACAGTCGTATTCGCTGGAGACTCACCTTTCTTAAACTCTCTGATGTATAGACAGGTTAGTTGACTTCCTTATTGTGGAACCACTGCACAAGAAAGAGTGGTGTTTGGTTCATGGGTTTCTCTCAGGTTTTAACAAATTACTTTTATCAATACACAGTTCCTGGTTTTGTTGATTTTGTAGATAAATAATACCGAACCCTCTATTCTGAGCCTCTTTCCTGAGCATAATATTTAGCCCGGCAGAGATTAATTATGAGTCATAAGGAAAAGGGCCTGGCATTTATTTTAGACAATACGTGCAAACAAAATCCCATTACTTCTTTCCACTGAAAACTTTCGAGAGAATAAAAAGTGTAAAACTGAGCACTTTCTTGAAAACAGCTATTTAAAGACATACCGTGTGCCTCTATTGTATGTTAAGGTCGCAAAGTACAAAAATTATTCAGGCAATTTACCACGGGAAATTGCGTGACGCAAAATTTTGATAGAATGTGAAAAAAGATCCCTAAGTTTTGTACATTACTTCCCCCTTGTGTGCAGTATTAGAGTTCACTGATGCATTTATCTTGCTGTGGAGGGTAAAAATAACTCGCGATTCTGAAATCAATTTCTGCATTTGACGTCCACCAAGATAATCGTCTCTTGCGTCCATTTATTTTGTTACTTTCAGATGTCTGGCAGAGCGGGTCGTAGAGGCTTTGACCCGGTGGGAAATGTTTTGTTTTTTGGAGTTCCTTACCGCAAGGTTCAACGACTCATAACAGCTAACATTCCAAAGCTAGTTGGGAACTTCCCCATAAATGTATCGTTGGTCCTGCGCCTGCTCTTGATGACGACAAAGGGAGACGACAAGAACGATGCGCTGACTAAGGTATCAGTAGGAAATAGAACTTGATCATACGTTGAGAACTCCTTTGACCGAGCTGCATTCTAGAACGCGATTCGAGTGCAGAGTGCAGAGTGCAGAGTGCAGAGTGCAGAGTGCGGAGTGCGGAGTGCGGAG